ATCCTGGAGGAAAAGAGGGTAGGTGAAGTGTAAGTGCCCACAGGGAGTCTCCTGATCTCCTATACCCCATCCCCTACCCCTGTCCTGATAAAAAGAAGCCTGGTGAGGCTCTCTTTCTGGGGTTGTGAAGAGAGGAGGCCTATTAGCTAGGCAGCTGGAGAAGGCCAGGACTGTGCGACCCTTGCCTGAGCCACCTCTCTCTTCTCCTTAGAGTCTGAGAACTTGAGAGGAGACAGGGCAGATTTGGGGAGGTAGCTTGGGACCTGGCAAAATTGCCATAGATAGAATGGGGGACAGAGATCCAGAGGACAGTGGGAGAGGACTTGACTGCTGATCTGTCTCAGGAATACTGAGTTGTCATTGACATGGGACATAGGTAGACATAGTGGGTGAGGTAAAGGTGAGTGGTCACAGTCGGAAAGACTTTGTGGTCCTTCCTTACTCAACAGGCCCCAGCCAGGTTCTTAGATTCAGATAGGGCCAGGTCAGTTTGTATGTGGCAAGGGGGAAGCTGATGGGAACAGAATACCTCCTGTTTTCCCACTTAAACTCCAGGGGAATTTTGTCAAGTGTGTTCTTTTCCCAGAAAATCCAAATAGTGGCTGCATCCCTCAGGAGGCAGCTATCGAATCTTCCCCTCTAACATTCCATTGAAGCCCTTTGCCCTTGAGAGTGAGCCTCCAGCCGTGCTGAGCCTCCAACCTTCCTGCCCACTGCCCATTTTTCTATGGATTGTATCCCTGGAGAGAGACTCCCCTATCCCTGGGACCTCTCCAGCAGCCAAGGCTGTGGTTGGGACATCAGTGAAAGAGGCAGCAGGTAGAGCTAAGTTTTTACAGCCCCTAGGTGCAGCATGAAATATTTTATTGCTCTACCCTGAGGGCAAGGAGAGAGGAGAGCTCAGGAGGTAGTGGGGTAGAGGACTGAGGATTGAGGCTGAAGGTGTAGTGGGAGGGCCGACTGCCCAGTTAGGTATTCCATTTTTTGCTGATTGTAAGAACCCCATTTTAATTTCCACAGCAGTTCAAACCTCCACCCAGATTTCTAAAGTCTACTTTTCAGGTTAGCCTCTGACCCAGAAGCTGCCATTTCACACCCGCCCCTGGCATCTCTAATTTCATAAGCAAGGGCAGGAATTGGGAGTGGAAGGCACAGAAAGAACCAACTCTCCAAAGTCCCCTCCAGCTCTGAGTTTCTCAAACTGGGGCCGGGTAGAGCTGGCAAACGCCGAGGTGTGGTAGAATAGCCTTCCCTCCCAACCCAATCCAAATCTTTCTGGGATGGATCTCTCTGGTTGCCCAGTCAGTTCTCAGGCCTCAGGCCTCAAAGTCTTTGGTAGGTTTCCACAAGAAGGTTCTATCTCGAAGTAATGATATTTTCTGTAGGAAAAGGCCTGCATGTGTTTTTTTGTTTGTTTTGTGTACCAAATCCATTTGGATTGGTTTGGGAAAAGTCCTTAGTCTGCTTGGGAATAGGGACATTTGCCATTTCAGCACCTTTGGGAGATAGTCCAGAGACAGACCTGATTTAACCCTGGGAAAAATTCTTGATCTCTGCAAATCTTCGGTTCTTTATCTGCAAAATGGGGATAATAATAGTACCAATTCCATGGTTATGGTGAGAACTAAACAGGAATACATGCAAAATACTATGTGTCAGCTATTGTGCTATGTGCTCAAGAAATGGAAGCCATTAACTTTTTTAATTGTGGCTCACATAGCATCTTAGCATGGACCTTCCCTGCTAAGCTTAGGCTCAAAGAGGTTGACTGATGGACTCAAAGTCACACATCAAGTCTACACTGAGCCTGTAGGAGCCTCGAGTCCCTCACAGTAACCTTCTCTTTTAAGTGCCATGCATTAGAGTTTTTCTGAGAAACAAACAATAGAAACACATAGAAGCAGAAATGCACACACATATATAGATATATAGAAAGAAATTTATTATGAGGGATTGGGTCCCACAATTATAGAAGCTGAGAAGTTCCTCTATTTGCCATCTGCAAGCTGGAAACCCAGGAAAACCATTGGTGTGGTTCCATTCCAGTCTGAGTGGCAAGGCCTGAGAACACCAATGTCTGAGGGTAGGAGAAGATGGTGTCCCAGCTCAAGCAGAGAGAGCAAATTCCGCCTTCCTTTCCACCTTTTTGTTGTATTTACACCCTCAATAGACTGGAGGACTGCCCACCTACTTTGGTGAGGGCTATCTTTACTCACTCTGCTGATTCAAATGCTAATCTCACCTAGAAACAGCCTCATAGATACACCCAGAAAATAATGTTTTACCAGCTCTCTAGGCATCCCTTAACCAAGTCAAATAGACACATAAAATTAACCATCACACTCCAAAATTGCTGGTCAGTCCCTTTGTTGTGACATTCTACACGGGGCAGCATTGAGGCCCTTGTGCTGTGTGCATTGCAACCTTCTGTCTGGCCAGTTTCACCCACCACCTAGCCCCCTTTCTATGCCCCCTCCCAGCCTCAGTGTTTGCCTCTGCCAAGAGCAGGCTTCCAACAGGGTCTGCCTCTCACACTGCTACACTGGACCTGAAGCTGGTGACACAGTGACAGTAATTGATTAGACTTCTGTAGGACACATATCCTGGAGCCGAGGCGAAGATTACAACTCCACTAGTAGCTTGGAGCTATCAAATGGCCATTGTGCATTATTACTGCAAGTCTTGCCCAAAGGCTGCTGACCATCAGGCAGATCGAGCTGTGGCTCTAAAAGACATGCCATAGCTCAGGTGCTTTCAAACTTTGCTGCACATTAAAATTACTTGGGGCGCTCTGGAAAATCCTGATGCCTGGGCTGCTATCTATACCAACTAACTCAGAATGTCTGAGGGTGGGAGCCAGGCAGCAGTATTTTTTAAAGAGATCCAGGTGATTCCAGTGCGCAGTGAAGTTTGGGAACCACTGGCTTAGCTGCTCCAGGAAAGAGGAAGGGACTTGGAAGAACTACCAGGTTAGACTGTCAAATGAAGGTAGAGCCCAAACTCAGTCACCTATTTGAAGCCTATCATTCTACCAACAATAACCCTAATGTGTTTAAGCAGCATATATTTAGGCCTAATTCTACATGCCTTCAGTACAGAACTGCAATTCATACACATACTCAATAGTCAATGCTCTTCTTTATAATCCAAATTCTATATATGTAGTTATACCCATATGTACATTCTCACTGGGCATATCTAATAGTGGGCATGTCACCATCCCCAGTCTCTAACCTGGCTTTTTGTGTGGTAGCCTTCTTGGTCTTTCTCCCCATGGCTGCTGTCCTTATCTAAGTTCTCTTTACCTTTGTCCCCCAGTCTGAGTCTCCAAAAGCTGGGAGAGGGATGAGTCATGTTTCAGGCATGGTTTGGTGCTGACCAGATGGGGAGGGTGGGGCCGAAAGATATGAGAGTCATGTGCAACTGCTTCAAGGTGGTGGGTACAACAGGAGCAAGGAGGAAGGAGCTACAGACTCCAAAAGGGTAGATGGAGGGGATTGTGAGGGCTGTGGGCTGCAGCTATGAAAGTGCAGCTATATGGCAGTATGAGTCAACTCAAGGTCACTCTGAAGGACCCAAAGAAATTGGAACTCGAGCCCTTCCCTGGGCACTGATGATTGAGTGGGAACCAGATAAAGGAACAGTACAGAGAGTGCCAGAGTCCCTGCCTTGGGGGCTCCTGATCTGGGGAGCAACATAGGAAGCTGCATGGCTGTGAGATACAGTCAGTGAAGATGTGGAATGTGCAGATGGCTACATTGCTGCCTGAGGTTGTTTATTCTAATGGGAT